GTGCACCTTCAAGCAAAGCTGTCACGCTGCAGACATGCCCCCATCCACTCACCACAGGTCAGTATTAAAAGTAGCTCATTGTACAGGGGAACTTGCACGTTCACACACGCACAGAAAGTTCATTTCCATCTCCCAAAGATGTGGTGAAGCACTGCTGTAGCTCTTTTATTCAGGAAATTAAGTGACTCCGAGTCACACTTGTGAGCAGTTTACATTTGTGGGCATAAGGGCCGATGTGTTCGTGTTCAGAATGAAAAGTCTAAGAAAGAAACGTGTACATGACCAATCACTGGACTGCACAGAAGAAAAGCTTGTCATCCGCTTACTTTCCCTCTGTCTCTCTGAAGCCATGGAGGCCCGGGCACGTCAGCGAGCAGAGCGAAGGAAGGAAATTGAGGAACTCAAGAGGAAGAAAGAAGAAGAAAAGCTGGTAAGCTGAAAGGTCATTTTCTGGGGAAATGTGGGGTTTTTTTTCTTTGCAGCAGCAGCTGTGGTTCAAGTGGTGGCTCTGATTTCCCATGGGTTGGTGGTTTGATTCCCTGCCCCTCATTGTTTGTAACTGATCTCAGGAAAGACGTGAAGCCGGGAGTTTGTGTGAATAGGTGAATGAGAAACCGATAGTAAAGCAGTAGAAGCCAGCTAAGGTTAAAATGCACTCCATAAGTGCAGACCTCTTACCATTTTTATTTTGGGACCTCCAAAACAGCTGTCGTTAAAAAAAACACATCCAAATTTAATGGCAAACACAACTTTCAGGCTCAGATGAAAGCCGCTGAAGAGCTCAGGCTGAGGGAGGAGGAGGAGGAGAAACGCAAAGCAGCAGAAAGACGTCGGGAGGAGAAAAGGCTGGAAAGAGAGGTGAGGTGTACTTCATATTTTATGGATGTCCGCAAAAAAGCTGAACTTCGTGGGTCTGAGTACAAGAAGCGGTTCTCTCATGTGACTCCCTGCAGAATATTAAAAATAATCTCACTTTGTGTTTCTGCACAGAGAGAAGAGGAGAAACAGAGACAACTGAAAAGGCAACGGGAGCTGATGGCACTGGCCCGCCAACACCACTGCAGAACGTTGTTGCTGCGGCGGGGCCTGGCGCCATGGAAACGCCTCATTCAGCTCAGACAAGCCAGTGTGGAGGTAAATCACCTGTCCTGTCCATTTCAGCTGTCAGTCTACAGCGACACAGGGAGCCAGCAAGTACTATTGTATTTCTGGCTGTGAGGAGTAAACTAAAAACATTTATTTGACTTTAACACCATTAATGTGTTAAAGTGGCAACTGTGAGCAATGTACACAATAACTGACAATTGTGAGCAATACACAAACTGCTCTGGTTTTTTAAAAAATAAATTATTGTCGCTCAAAAACCGAGCCAAAGGCAAATCTACGACACACTTTGAACGTGAAAGTGCAGAAGGAATACGTCCAAACAAAAGCTTTCTAGCAGCACTCCCTTGACATCATCACTATTTCATCCTCCAAATGTTCCTGTCTTAGCAAAGCTTAACAAATGAACGCAGAAAATCTTTTGTATTCATGTTTCAGAGCTTGTTATAAAACCTCTCTGTTTGGATGCGAGTACATGGCTTTTCTACCTGGCACATATGATTGAGTTTACATTCACGAGTGCACACATGGTTTCCCCCCCTCTTTTTCATTCCCTGCCAGCTGGCTGAGCGTCATCACACTTTCATCCTCCTGAGGCAGTGCACATTAGGCTGGCAGCAATCAGCAAGAGAGTCTGTGTCTGACAAAGAAGCTTGTGCTGACCAACTGCACCAGCACTTTTTGCTTCGGAGGAGCTTAACCTGCTGGAAAAGGGTGCGTATACACCTGCACACATACAGACGCCATCCGGGGCTGACTAAAAGAAATACCTTTTTCCTAATCTCCTCTTCTACCTGCTCAGTCATATTTTCATTTTTCCAGTCTGTATGAGTGACAGGTTAAAGGAAAGAAGCCAGCCCTGTGCCTCTGTTTTGCTGTCTGTGTTTGCTGGCATGACTTGGGTACACGAGAGGGATCAATGCAAATCAAAACAAAGTTCTTTCCTACCACGAGACATTCCTGTGTTCATGTGACTTCTCTCTCCCAGTTGATAATAAACCATCCACAGGGCGATATGGGTCACTGATCAGCTTGATGAGTATGAAAATAATGGAAATCATCTGCTGTGACCTTCTGAGTCACCAGCTCCCCAGTCACCACCCACACTATCAGAAAAACATCAAATAAGGAGACAACCAACACTTATATTAGATTTTCCTTTAGTTTTTCAACCATCTTTTATATCCTGATTTCTTAGTGTTTTTTAAAAAACATTTTTTCACACTTACATGTTTCAGGTCAAAAAAATTAACATTAGACAAAAATAACTGATTAAATACTAAATGCATTTTTTAAATACCTGGCCCTATGCGGAAAAAAATAATTGCCCTTCTTGTTAAATCATGAATTAACTGTGATTAAGAGCAATTTTTGGAAAAGCTGAGTTCAGTTTCCTAATTCAGTTGTCTAATTACCCGACCTATTCAATCAAGAAATCACCAAAACAGAACCTGTCTGGCAAAGTCAAGTAGACTCCAAGAGGTGATTGACTCATTACAGAGGTCATGCCATGGCACACCCTGGACAGGTCAGCAGTCTTTCACAGGGCTAACACATAGAAACAGACAGCCATTCGCACTCAGATTCACACCTATGGGCAATTTATAGTTACCACTTAACCTAATCCCACTAAGTGCATGTCTTTGGACTGTGGGAGGAAGCCGGAGTACCTGTAGAGAACCCACACAAACTCGGGGAGAACATGCCGACTCCACACAGAAAGACCCTGATGGTGGAATTGAAATCAGGACCTTCTTGCTTCCCCCCCCCAAAAAAGTAATAAAAACTAATACAGCACTTCATAAAAAGAACAGCAACACCATACCAACAGTGTCGAGGCTGCTTTAATACTTCAGGATATGGGCGATAGAACCATGAATTCTGCTTTCTACCAGAAAATCCTGAAGGAGAATTTATGGCCATCACTTTCTGTCCTGAAGCTCAAGAGCACTTAGGTTATTCAGTAGGACAATGATCCAAAACACACCAGCAAGTCCACCTCTGAATGGCTAAAAAAGAAATAAAAATAAAGCTGTTGGGGCGGCCTAATCACACTCTGGCCTCAAATCAGACTGCGATGCTTTGGCGTGACCTTAAACTGGCTGGTCAGCCTTCAATGTGGCTGCTAAAGGTGGCACAGTCAGTTTTTAGGTTTATGGGAAAATAACCTTTTCACAATGCATCATGAGGTTGATGTTTGGTGATCTGAAACATGTAAGTGTGATGAATACCAAAAAAACTAAGAAATCGAGAAAAGGAAAAATACTTTTTCACAGCACTGTGCATCTCATCTTATAATTTTTGTTCACGTTCACTGTATTCCTATTTGTAAGCAAGTGTTGTTCATTCCAGATGAGAGACATACAGATAATTCAGGAAGAGCGAGCCGAGCGCTTCTATCGCACACGCACTCTGAGGAGGTTTCTGCTGGCGCTGCTGGACCACGTGACTCAGGAGAGGCTGGTGGAGTGGGAGCATCAGGAGCTGGCTCTGGAGCATAATGAGAGGTCTGCTACCCCTGACTTTGCCATATGTTCACAGTAATATAACCAGCCAAGTGGGTGTTATTATATTTAACAACTTGAAAGAACTTTAATTACAAGTTAAACTGCTGAATCAGAACAGTCTTTGCAGCTCTTAGAGAAAGGACAGGGCCTGCAAGCCTTTGAAGATGTAAACATTCATTTGACCTCTAGGCATTTTCAATAAGAGACTCTCAAGACCTCAAGTAGCCCAGAAAAAAATAGATTTACTAGGAAGTTGTGTAGATGGTAATTCTATAATACACATTGCAGAAGCAGTTTCTGGATATTCACCAATATGAAATATGAAGTGCATCTTTTTTTTCCATCTTCCTTTTCCAGTGTAACTTCCTCTTCATTAGACAGAAAATTTATACCACCATCTCCTTGACTCCGGTGCACCAACTCATATCTGCTGTTAGCTGCAAATGTCTTTTCATATCATGATTAATGGAGTCTGTTGGGATGCTTTTGTAGCTCAGTGTGTAGCGCTCCTAAACGGGCCACGTTTCTGCAATAATAGCCTTTGTAGATACCCAAAAGTCAATAAATCTGGAGGGTAATTGTGATATAGCGGTCTTATATAAAACCATCTGTGCTTGTATGGTCTCCCTAAATCCTAGAGCCAGCATGCTAACATGCTGCTGTTCATGCCATAAATCTGTTAAAGTAGCAAGCCAGAATTTACACAGACAAGATACTGCTTAGGTTCTTCTTTTCCTGGCTATTTTAATTATGATATACTCGCACTATTACCAAGCAGAAAGAAAGCAGAAAGAAACCAGCAGGGTCCCGTTAATTGGTGTGACATACATGCTAATTTTTCAGATTCTAAACATTCTCATTGCTGGTTTGTTCAGGTTTGTCCTTAGTTTAGCATCACAGCTTCCACTAATTACAAGGTACAACAGTCCGCCACAACATCCATCCTTCCTCCTCTCAACCCAACCAGTCACGGCAAATGGCTGGCCCTCCCTGAGCCTGGTTCTGCTGGAGATTTCTGCCTGTTAATAGGGAGTTTTTCCTTCCCACTGTCGCCAAAGTGCTTGCTCATAGGAAGGCATATGATTGTTGGGTTTTTCTCTATATGTATTATCGTAGGGTCTACCTTACAATATAAAGCGCCTTGAGGTGACTGTTGTTGTGATTTGGCTCTGTATAAATAAAATTGAATTGAACTGATATTAAAAATGACACCATAAGTCAATAATATTAATAATTTTGTTACAATGCACAAATCTGCATTGTGGTCCAAAAGAGGGCTTTTTATAAGAAGCGTTTGTAGGATTTAATGATCTGTCGTTGCCACAAGTTGAGAATGTTTATAAACCTCAGCTTGTTAGGTGAAGTCCACTAAATGGCCACAGGGTGCAAATGAATTCCCACCAGCTGCCTTGGTGACACTACCAACAAGCCCCAGAGTTACATGTGAGAATTTATTAGCTGTTGTCATGCTAGAGGTCCCTTTAATCCATTTTGTTATTGCTCACTTGCTCTGTTCCCGTCTGTCCCTCCATCTGCCTGCATATCAGACGAGTGCTGCGGCAATGTTTCCTGGCCTGGAGGCAACTTCCATGTTTGCTGCGCAAGGAAAGAGAGAAGGACGAGCGGAGGGAGAAGCTGTGCCGCAAAGTGACTGAGGTTCTCCCAGATTTCTGCTCCCATCCACTGTAACGCCTCTGGGAAGACCGACAGAACGGGCAACGTACTGCATACTGATGCAGGCGACACGCAAACATCTCAGCATCACTCTGGAAGATGACACACTGCACACTTCTTACATTTATTTTATAAAATATTTTCACAGAAACACATAAATCAACCAGAGCAATTATTGGAATACAAAAAACAAACAAAAAAAACCCCTTTAATGCCTGTGAGAACCAAAAGCAGTGAAAAACTCATTTCTAACTGATGCCAAAACATATTGATTCATTTGCGTTTTCCATTTATCTAAGAGTTGTTCCATTTCTGAGTCAGTTTTGAAACAGATTAAAAGAGTCAAAGTAATCGTGTGGTAATAACTAAGCAATCAGCTGCTGTGGAACTTCAAATTAGCTGGCCTATCTGGCCTGTGCCAAAATGTTTCAATTAGTTGTGATAAATATCCATGAATTCGTTTCACAAGGTCAAGTGCAGTCTGTTTGTGAATGATGAAAAGGTTATAGTGAGCCCTAGAGAGCCTCCTTGAATATCCTATCTGTGCACTCAGAGGCATCATCTTGTGCTGTGTTCAGACAAAATGTCCCCACCAGGATCAGCAGATTGGAGTTATTGTCTCGCATCAAGGCACTACGAAGGAGGGGAGACATAAGGTCAGCCTTCAAGTCAAGGAAGACATCCAGCGTGAAGGACTAGTACTATTTGTTTGGCAGAGGTGACGTATATGACCAGCTGCATAGAGGAGATCCTGCATGTCCTTCACATTTATGGCAGTATGTGCATCTTATGGGCGTGAGTAGTTGTTATTGCTAAGTGTCAAAGTCAGTGCAACTCCATATGTTGCACGTTAAAAACGTAGCAGCTCTGAGGTTTGCTGCCAGCAGCACGTCCAATCAGTTAAAAGGAGTCATGCTGCCATCCAGTGGACACTAACACACCAGCAGCCACAATTCCCAAACTTTAAACAGCATTGCATCACAAGTCTCTCACACCAAGTCAGTGGGAGAGGGGGGAATCACTTTGTCTCCCATGCTCATGAACTCAGACCAGTTGCCACGGAAACCTCGGGAATAGGCGCCAGTGTTCACGACGAGTCCCCAGCAGGCGCTGCGAGCGGTTTTCTCTCGCAGGGCGATTCGGGCTTCGCGCTCGGTCACGTTGTAGCTGACGTTGATGAGCTGTATCGCCAGCAGGTGAAGCAACCCGCCCGTCACGATGCTGCTGTACCACGCACAGGTGAAGCAAAGAGCAGTGCTGGAACACAGACAAGGACGGAGGTAGTCAATTTTTTTCTTTTTTTACCAGCAAAAGGGTTTTATTTTCATGCTCAGCCACTTTCAAAGATAAAATATTTAGTGTAACCAGTTTAAAAGGGTGTAAATGGACAGATCACAGTTAAAAGAACCAGTATTTTTACATATTGAGGGCATGATACTCATTCACAGTTTTTAACTCTGAGTTCAGTAGCAGTGCCAGTACTAGTCATTTGAACTACTTCACATGCATGCTCGTTGCTCTGAGCAAAAACTGAATCTTTCTCCAACAGCTTAATGGGCACTGCTTCAAGGTACTCTTGAAAGTGATTCAGTAGAGCGAAAAAAGCCAGACACTCAATATGCTCATGGAAGGTCCTCACTTACTTCTGGTAGTTCTGGGAAAAGTATTAAATGGCTGTGCAGTGGGTCAGTGAGGATCTTAATTGCTGCGAAAAAGGCTGTCAACCCTATTTTCTGTGGACTCTATCTCAGCTGTGGGTGTTTATTTAAGCACAAGTACTGACGCTGTGCAGTTAAGATGTTTAATTTTGTTCACAGGGTAACAATACAGAGGGTCCTAATTTTAATTAATAAGGCACTGTGAATACATATGTTGATTACATTACATTTTAAGGAAACCTGCCTGTAGAGCCTGATTTATTTATTATGCTCTTTCTAGTATAAATACTAGTACAGAGTATATAATCTGTTCCATTTGTTTGGGTACCTAGGGTTGCTAAGCATTTGACCTTGAAATTCATCGTTAGGACACAAAGTCAAACCATATCGAGTAATAGATTATATGAGAGCTGTACAACACACTTTTTACGACATCACAATGACGCCGTAACAGACTAATTCCATTATATTGGAATATGGACAACATACTGGAGATCAATGAGAAGGCGAATGAGGAAATAAATTACATGTATGATCACCTGTGATGAAATCATGAATTAAAAGTAAACTCAAACACTTCTCATTCATTTTTAGTTCACTTCCATATTTTAGGTCTCAGCATTAACCACCACAGGTCCACATGGTCACTGAACGTCATTACATACAAACCTTACTGAGCTGATTATAAACCTGTATTTACACAGATTTTTTTTTTTTTTACAGCAACACCAAGTCTTCTCTGCAAAAAAACAAAAAAGTTGAATTAAACTGTGTATTTCACAATAAAGCTGACGCCAAAGATAACGCCGCCACTATAAGCTAGCGTAGCAGTATATAGTGGCTTATGGTAGTGGTGTTATCCTTCCATTTGTCACCAGTGTTTCCTGATGTCTGTGGGGCAATGCCTTGTTTTCATTCTGGATTTGGTCTCTGTTTCAGAACCGTTACAGCCCTGATGCTAGTGCCAGAATTCAATTAGCTATGCATAAAAATTGGAAATCTTTACAGTTTCCAATCAATACACACATACATGCATAGTCATTTAAGGCTGCTCCCTTATTTCAAACAGTGAATGAATCTGAAAGTTACAACTTGGCACAGATTTGACACCAGATGTCCTTCCTGATGTAATGCCCATGTATCCTGGCTCGGTGGAGATGTTTGACCATAATGCACAGAAAAACCAAACACATCATATCAGCACAAAAACCTTATGCTAACTATAAAGTGCAGTGGTGGAGGGAAAATGATTTGGGCTTGTTTTGTGGCCACAGAAACTGGACATGTTGCAGTCACTGATTTGACCGTGAAGCCCTCTGTGTACCAAAGTATTCTAGAGACAAATGTGAAGCCATCTTTCTGGCAGCTAAAGCTTGGTTTTAAACTGGGTCATGTAACAGGATGATGATCCAAAACACTGCAACAAATCTACAAGAGAATAGTTGAAAAATAAAAGAATAAAGGTGTTGCAATGACCCAGACCTCAAACTGACTGAAATGCTGTGGTGGGACCTTCACAGAGCTCTGCATTAATTAATTCCTGCAAACCTCAATGAACTGAAGTAATGTGGTAAAGAAGAATGTGCCAAAATTCCTTCACAGCAACATGATAAAGCTAAACAGAAAATACCACTTCAAAGTTCTGCTAATGGTGGTTCTACAAGCTCTTGATTAATGGGGTAAACTTAGTTTTTGACAGAACTGTATGTCTGTTTCCACTACCTGTACTGGTTGTAGACTCCTGGGCAGTAGAGTAAGGCGAAGAGGAGATTTTGCCGTGGACACACACTCTGCAGCACCAGGCTGATTCCGTACAGGGACGTCAACAGGAAGAGGACGAGCGTGAGCAGAAAGCTGCGGTGATTGGCCTGCCCCACACAGCTGTTTATCCTGCCCGACACAGACAGGAGGGGATGCACAAACACACGTGTACACACACAAGCAGACAAAACATTGTACTGAGACTCCAGGGTTACACTACACTACACACAAACATGCAGGAGCGTGCATGGTATAGAAGGATGGCAGCAAGGAAATTGTGACGTTAACACAACATAGAAAAAAAATATGGTGAGCTAGACACAAGAGGACAAAGATATTCATTCTCTCTGAGCTCATTACCTGCAACAACAGAGTAACTTAACTCTTATAAATTAAAGGTGTTATTTTAGATCTGCGTGGTCTTTGTGCAGAAAAGAAGCAGGTCACAAACAAGACAACTTCAGTGTTTGAAGGAGAAGAAAGCAGTGATGACAGGCAGGTCGAGTGAGAGGAATTTGAATGGAACCCACCAGACACAGTGGTGGTCGAGACGCAGCACGCAGACACCACAGATGCGACAATGCCCCGCCCTGGGGGGCCGCACCATCCTGCATGCCTGACACCAGTTCTTTCGGTTGCTTTCCTTCATTTCCTCCTCCGCATGCTCCGACACCCCAGCCCGGTTGGCTACAGTCATCGTCACATCCTGCCTCCCACCACTGAGGGAAGGGTTTCTGCCTGTGGGGGAGCTGTAATATGCCACCTTGCTGTGAACGGACTCTTCGTTTGGGCGCAGGATGCCCGGATCTCTCTTGGTGTGGAAAAGAGCCAGCAGGGTGAGGACAACCCCGACGCTTACCAGCGCTAGCTGAAGCAGTCCAACATCCCCATGTGGAAACACCTCAGTGATGAACAAGTAGTACATGTACGCCAAGGAGAAAAGGGCCAGGCTGAGGAAGAAGAGGGTCTGTCCTTTCTTACGGTGGGTGAAATAGTAGTACCACAGCACTAAGCCCGGCAGAGCTGTCAGAACCACCATCCCGATCAGGAAGTGGAGAGCAGCAAGGTGCAGCAGGGCAGGAAGGAGAAGAAGAGGAGGAATGATGGACAGGTCCACCTTGCGAGCTCCACCCCACAGCCACGGCACACGAATCCGATCTGTGACGACTGCAGCCACCTGTGACAGGGATTCAGGCTTCTGAGGTTCCCTCTTCAGAAACCTGATGAAGCAACGGAAAAGCTGTAATACCTTTTTTTTTTTTTTTTTAATTAAAGTAACCATGTAGGGAACTTACTAACATGTTTCAAGCACCCAAAATACAGACAGAGAACTCAAATACAAGTTATTCATTCATCATATTTTCATAATAAACAGCAGATTGCAATTACAATGTGATTTTTATACCCTGAGTGTCACTATGTGAAAAACCTGATATTGATGATACAATAAAGCATTCAGTCATCAGCATCAGCAGGACTCTGCTTCTGACTACCAAATTAGTCGACTAATGGAACTATCAAGAGCCCAACATTTACTGACGTGACGGCAAATGAAGCATTTCTTATTGGGCCATAAAGCTGCAACAAGCACACACAAATCACACCTGAGGCCGAAAATTATAGGTCTTCCCCTCTCTTCTACGACCCTCCCAACAGGAATACAAAAAAGCTTCATATTACGAAATATCTCAGAATAAGTGGGCCTCAATGAAAATGTGATTTTAATGGGGTACAGTGTTGGGCAAGTTACCTTGAAAAAGTAATTAATTATAGTTACTAGTTACTTCTTCAAAAAAGTAACTGAGTTACAAGATTCTAAAAGTAATTAATTACTTGAAAAGTAACTATTGCATTACTTTAAAAAAAAATGTTTAATCCTCTGGGGTCCAGGGTAGATTTGGCCATTTTTAACTACTTTTGATGTTTCCTCTACATTTCACCTTTAAAAACTATTTACTTTGCCTTGTTTGGTTTCATTCTTTTCAGCGTGTATGAATTTACAGTTATGTTTTCATTTTGACATACTGTATTAACACAATTGATCTAAAATCAGACAAAAAAAACATAATATCAGAGTAGAAAAAGTTATATTTTTTACTTTAACAAGCACAAATGTGTTTAATGAATCATATTTCATAACTTTAAATGCAAATATAAATTGTCAATTTTAAAATCATATGCACAGCTTTTGCAGCCGTTTACCTTTTACCCCCTTTTTTATAACAATTTCAAACTATTTACATAACAATCAGCTGTTCTGCATTCAATAAGATGCCACACAAATTATTTGTGCCACTCCAAAAAATTTTCTGTCCACTATAAAGGAGAACATCACAGCCTGATACCTGCAGGTCTGACAGCAGCAGGTGTATCACTCCTGTTTCTACCTGGAGACAGCAGTCGCCTCATTGTTCTGACACACAACACAAAACTATCCACAACACTAACCTAACTACAAGACAACACATTAACTACACAAACAGTTCTGCTGTCTCTCTCTCTTTCTCTCTCTCATCATCTAACTTCCTCTCCTAACAACCAAATGTCATGTTGCCATTATTTTTTGATTGGTCGACATGGTGCATTTTTCCACCAACATGAAAGGGCTGATTTTTTGTTGTTGTGTTGTATGTTTTTTGTTGTTCATAAGCAGAGAGTGCTTGTACGCTGTCCTTAGACACGTAAACGATGCAAAACTATTCGAGGAAAAAACCGTAGTATATATTGTTTATCATGACTCTGGTTTTACGTGGCCTATCACACAATTTAAAAACTGGTATATATCACCTTGTTGCTTTGTCATCTTAGAAGTGGTCAGTGTGATTGGCTTACCACGACTACTTTATTCTTCCTCAGTCAAACAGCAGCACTCATGCGATTGTTTTGCCCCTTAGCTCCAGGTGTTGTGCCAAAAAGTGATCGTCAGGGAGAAAGTGATTGCCGTCCGCGGGAGCGCGCAGAGCTGCTTAACAGCTGTAGCGCCCAGATCTTGGGGGGCCCTGATTACTTACATAGACAGCTGCTTCCGTGCAACTGATATAAGGTGCAATAAGCTGAAGACAGCTTCAACCGTCTGTTTGTTGAAAAATAGTTTTCCTTGTTAGTAACTGTAACGATAGTTATAGTGATTAGTTAGATTACTCGTTACTGAAAAAAGTAACTCCTTACTTCCATCACTGATGTGGTAGAAATAAAATTATCTGATATCTTTTGTTTTAGATAGACAGAACTAAGACCGTAGTTACATTTTTAAATTTACTTTCTGGGTTATAATTCTGTTAAAGCGTCTCTGTAAGAACAAGCAAGACAGTTTGTGCCCTTTGCACATATAATGCAAGCAGCAGCAGAGAATTACCAGCACTTTCAGCTGTTCTGTTATGTGATTGTAAATGATTTGGCACAGTGTTTAAACCAGATGGCCTTCGTGACACAGCCCTTCCATTTATCCGGGTTTTGGACTGGGCACTGGGAGTACACGTGTACATGTGACCCCATGACACTGGGTTAATGTCTCCTCCCAGTGTCAAACCAAGGATCTTTCACATAGAGTCACTGATCCCAGCACTGCTATATTAGAAGCTTTGGTATGAAAATGATGTGATTCTCTTTGGATTTTGCACCGCTGGTCAGACAAGTCCAGGAATTTGACCAAATTGTCTGATTTGTGTTTTGTTTTCTGTATATTATTTCTGCTGGTATGACAGGTCTTTAAAGGTTGCTCCTTTTTATTTATAGTATTAGTATTATTATACATTTTTTGTCTTGATTTAACTACAGTCTGTGTGTTTGTTGTAGTTATGTAGTTTTGTGAAAATCTCCTAAAGTCTGAACCAGTAACATTTCAACTGTGATGTTAAATTGTTACTAAATTTATAAAATCTAAAAAAACATTAAAGAAACAAGGACTTTAATCCTTAGCCGACTAACTTTTTTCATTCTCTCCTAAAAACTGATGATCTTTAGCAGGGCCTGTGATTAGCCAAAAACAGCTCAGAGGAGGGACAGGAGTCTAGTTCAGATCAATCGAATTACAATTCACCTAAAGACTATTATGGATTTTCGTCGAAATACACCAAAAACAAGTTGTCTATCTTGCCTTAAATTGGGGCACAAAATTAAATCTCGCATTTCCCACCTGTCACAGGCGTCATCCAGGTCCTCACAGTCACAGCAGCAGGCTGCTACATGGCTGCGCTGTCCATGTCTGTTCATGTATTCGCAGCAGCACAAGACCGCCTCCTCCTCCAGCACCTTCTTGGCTTGCCTCTTCATTACAGAGAGCCCTGCAGCCTGTCAGAGGTTTTAAAAAAAGGTAATGAGTTCGAGGAAAGTGAGAAGTTGCAGATGATCAAAGGGAAGGGAAATGTATTAAGTGAAAATACCTTTACCTGATTTGCTTTCAGCTAATAATCATTTGAAAATACCACTTTGCTGAACTGACCTTTTCATGCAGCAGCTTACCAGACACTTGCATGCATTTTAGATGGTGGAGTGCTCTTAACAGATTTCCACAGCACTTTCACGTCACTTCCTGTCCTCACATCTGTCACACATCTGTCACCCTTTAATGATTTACAGCAAATGATCAGTCCCCCCACCCCCCGCACACTGGCTTGTTTATGTGGCACAGATGGATATGGATTTGGGTTGAGGTGGTGTCAGCAGTTATAGCAATGGCAGGTCTTAGGTGGCCTCTCAATCATGGCATGACAAAGTGGGGTTAATCCTTCAGCTGAGTTAAACCTCTATCTTTGGGAGGAATATGAATGAGCCTCTGATTAGCAATAAATCACAGAATGAAATTGTGTGTTATTATTAAAGCTCAGCCAATAATCACGCTAATGTGTTAAAAAGGACATTCTGGGTCAGAAAAGGTTACCAGCATCTAATTAGGGTCCTTCCAGGCACCCTTGGATCTGTAAGATCCTAAAGAGAGGACAGATTGGGTTACATGTACTGATTAATGGGTGTGTGCTAGCACCAAACAGCACATCTGCTCCCTGACAAATAAAGAAAAATACTGCTGCAAGGGCTTACAGTGTGCCTGTTGCACTCAGCAATTTTACAGCTGTGGTGTTTAATGCTTTGGCCAAAAAGCTTTTCAGGGCAAAGCACATCATTTTGCTTCAATATCTAGGAATTGCTGTCGTTTAGGATGGAAGACGTCACTTTTACAACTCTGATTATTAGCTGAAAGCAAATCAGCAACATTTTTCATAGTTAATAGTTCCAGATTGCAACTGTCGAGGATGCTTGCTTTACTTACTTTATATATTTTTGCTGTAAACACCATATTTGTCTGACACAATCGAGGCTCATTCTCATCCTCGGCCAAAATCTCAATTTGAATGGGAAAATAAACAGCATAAAATAACATTCTCATTTGACTATATACCAGAGCCAAAGAAGTGTGACAAGGAAACCTCCAACAATGTCTCAGTGTCTCAATGCCTGTTGCTGACAAAGAAGTGGAGACAGACCGATATACAATCACTCCAACCGATAACTAAAAAAAAAAAAGCAAACACCATATTTGTCTGACACAATCGAGGCTCATTCTCATCCTCGGCCAAAATCTCAATTTGAATGGGAAAATAAACAGCATAAAATAACATTCTCATTTGACTATATACCAGAGCCAAAGAAGTGTGACAAGGAAACCTCCAACAATGTCTCAGTGTCTCAATGCCTGTTGCTGACAAAGAAGTGGAGACAGACCGATATACAATCACTCCAACCGATATTTGGGGGACTCCCGTATCTGATATATTAGCTGATATATTGTTCTTTTTTTTTCCCACATACACACAAAACATAAACCAATGTACCTAACACTTGTTATGTGTACTTTTATGTGTATTTACTCGTTCACACTCTGCTTGGATCAGGGTTTGTTACTGCTTTCTTACCAGGTTTGTTACCTTGTTACCAGCAGTGCCCTCTAGTGGACAAACTATGCAACATCAACAGTGATAACGTGCCTGAATGGTGTTTCTCCCATTTCTTCTTTACTTTTTTCATTTATCAGCTGTTATAAATGTTGTTGATACGGAGAGATCTGCAAATTGATAATATCACGTAGTAATATCAACTGTTACGCTATCAGTATTTTGTACCAAAAGCATGCCAACAGCAGCTAATAGGGTAGTGGTTTACACATTTTCCTAACAGCAGCAGATTGAATTCCTAAGCTACTGAGCTTCTTTCTGCACAATTTCAGTCAAATGTTAAAAAATGACTGTAAAACACTGAGTACAGATGGATAAGGGTGGAAATTCAGATCATGTTGAGCTCCGTGGGTTTAGGGAGTCATCAACTAAATGGGATTTGCATCTAATTATTTAAATAATCCCAACATTTGGAACATTAGTTTGTTTACTTTTAAGCTCATGAAAATGGAGGGACTACATAAAAAAGGCTGCAAATCCTCAGTTTTAGTGCAGACTTTTATTCTAAACCCTTTCTGAAAGTCCACACTTTAATTACATTTTGCCCATTTCATTACAAATACATTTAACTGGTGTACAGCAGCAAAATTAGGAAGATTATGTCACTGTCCAAATGACTGTACATTAAAAGGCAGAGCTGCACAGTTAAATTCCTGAAGCTTGTAAAGACATAAAAAGTACTTAAAGTGGCCTCACCTCCACTCAGTGCTCGGCAGAAAGCAGGATTTACAACATCAGTCTTTGTACATGTGCAAAGACTCAAATAGTAAATGGACTGGTACTTATATAGGACCTTTCTACTCAAGTTAAGATACTACACATCTCATTATCACAATCACACTCAATCACAGCACTTTTATCTATGCCTAACATTTACATAGTTAAGCTCCCATGGATGTATCCAGACCAACGCATGTTCCCATGGCTTCCTACTGGTAGAAGACCACCTTTGCTTTTTTTTCCAGAGCAATAATATTCTCATACTTCCTAAAACGGGTCTGAATGTACCACTAGTGGTCAAGGAAGCTACACCTCGTTTGGAAGTCAGCCTTTTAGACACCTACACACCTGGTAACTGACCAACCAAGACACCATGCTAAACCTTCCAGGTGGAGGACCTAACAGCGGCTGGCTGTAGCTTAATATATACTTTATAGGTAGGATGACCAGATTTCCCACTTTACTATTCTTTCTCCCACCTCCCAATACTACATACTGAGGGAATGTCCCACATGTTGCTTTCTCACAAGAAACAAGGCTGTAAAAGAGATGTGCTGATCCACAGAACCATCCCTACAGAAACCCAAAAATGATTACCACGCAGAACAGCAGCTGCGATTACAGATAACCAAAAGTTACAACAATTGTAGTGGCATATAAAAAAAACTAGCTTTCAGGTTATTTGTAGCCTTACTGCAAACTCCTTACCCCACATTTAGTCAGCATATATAGAGACTATCGAGTGTTATAAACATGAACATTCTATAGAAAACCATTGAGGCAAGTGTTACTTCACAAAACTGCTGATAGCTGCAACTTGTGTTATCAATGAAATTTTACTTAGGGTAGATGGGGAGCCAAGATGGCATTAGAATAACTAAATACACGCCTGCTTATGAATAATCAATTAACATCATCAGTTATTTTTTTTCTGCAGCACACCTGCTCTAAACTATACCTTGCATAATAAACTTTTGTCCCAGTAACAGGATGCTGTGCTGACACATTCAGTAAAAATCAGTTTTTGTTGGAGACGCTGTGACTTTAAACTCGACTGAATGTAAATATTAGGACTTCACCGTTTTCCCTGGCATTTAACCCAATGAATCCTGCAGCTTGTCGGTAACATAATTACAGACTGCAGCTCACAGTTAACCGAGGTTCACTTATTTTTACCTGCCAACAAGCCGCCGTCTCACCGGAGCGACACACTGCGTCAAAGCAGGTTTCACGACCCGACAAACCCGGGTAAACATACCTGCACACGGGGCGGCTACATGCCAGCCTCTAGAAATATCGACTGGAACGATTTTCCCCCGCCGTGCTTCTTAACGGAAGTCTCGGTCCCGGCAGCAGAGCTCGTATCCGGTGTTTCTGCCGCTAAATGCAAGTCGCGTGAAGTGACCGCGGAACGGCGGCAACTGCTGGGGCGGGGGCTGGGTTTGAGTGTCCGGCTCGGCTGGTGCTTCCTGCAGGAGCCGGGGGGTGTCTTCTGCGTGGACGTCCAGGTTTCGGTACACAGAGAAGTCCTGCTTCCTCCTCTCCAAACTGGCTGAACTGTTTCTGTACTGACGTCACATGAAGTGGCTTTTCCCCGCCCAGCTTACTCCCACATGATGCTGCTACTGCTGCATGCACAGCTGTGCTCAGGTGAAGTGCTGGAAAAGCTGTGTACCAACACTCCATCAAAACAAACAGTCAGTTTAATGGTCTTTGTGAGAAGCTTCGTCCCGTTATAAATTAATTATAAGTAGCTTATCTTACTCTTGCACATTTGGTTATGCAAGAGAGATAATGCCAACATTTTTTGGACTTCTATAACTTATATCCGGGCATAATTGATGATTGTGGACATGGCAGTTTAGCACACGTGTGCTAAAAAGTGATTATATTAGATACATAGCCATCTGATTGCTTTTAATATAGTTTAGTTTCCATAGTGTAATTTTTCGGTTTAGTTTTAATTGTTATAAGTTCCAGTTTTAGTCTTTAATTATTACTGTATGGAGAGCATATGTCACAGGCAAGATTTAGGAAAATTGACTCAGTCTTGTAGACTCAAAATCTCAAGAACTAGTCCCATCAATGCCTCATCAGATAAGCTAATGTTTTAACATTAATCTCAGTTCCTTCACATGGACTCAAATTGCAACAAATACTAGGAATGACCCACCTATCTGAGCCTTAAATATTAGCCATCTGTGTACGTATCATATTGCATCATGGCTCATTGTCATATCAGAAATATATAACCAAAACAATGCACGCTGTCCATAGTCTGCTTTTTGAATACTTAAAGAGAAAACTAATTTAACATCAAATAATGCTTTTATTTGTATGTTTGGTGGGGTTCTATTTGTGCTTTTACATAAATGTTTTATATACTGATCTCTTTAGGCATGCCTCAGGAAAGCCATCGGGTATAAAATTCTGAATTCAAACATGCAAATGGAAACATTCAAGTAGTAATTTCTTTTTCCTATAACTTAATACTATAAATTAACTATTAATGCTCATATAAGGATAACAGCAATCCTGCCATATGCAATATAAATGAGTCTCCTTGCAGTTTAGTCCCCGCTATCACTACTGTAAGTGAATACTACAGAGGAAATAGAATTTCCTTTGAGGATGAATTAGGACAGACTTGTGGTCAATAATTAAACACTCTCGATTATATTATGTTTCGCCTGTGACAAAATAATGAAGACACATTTGGCTTTAGTCCCATTTAATCTTTTGCTTCCCCCAGCAGAGCATCTATGCAGCTCCTACCAACACAATCTGTGTGCGTTTTGGTTTTGTTTGTTTGGGGGGGTTTTTTAAAGAAAAAAAGTCTATATGGCAGTTCTGTCTTAGTTAAGTCAGATTCTTCCAAAGATAAATATCACTTTGTGCCAACACAGATCAGCCTTATACCAGGTTCCAAATCAATCACTGGTGAAACCGTTTGTTCCACTGGCACAACAAGAGAAAGCAGCAAACTTGGAAATTAAGCTCATTATTTACACTGAGACATTATTTAGAAAAATCGTCATTAAGAGTTTAAATATAAACACTATTTATATTTTAAAGGTTTCCAGGAAAAGTCAAAACTTCTGGCAAAAGTAATATTTATTAAAATGATCAATGACAAGACATCAACAACAATCAGGACCAAACACAGTCAAATTCAACGAAATTTATACGTACAGGAAAAATGAGTCTTCAAATTCAAGAATGTCATGTGTAAACCTTAAGAATTAAAAAAATAAAAAAAATAAAAAATAGAACAAGCTTTCCTCTAGTGTTGACAGAGTGAGCTCACAGTACTGAGATAGTCCGAGCCAACACCTTCGCTGAAAGATCACCTCATCAAAAGCATTTTAAACTACAAAATCGTACAGTTCTCTAAATTTGGATCAGTGCAGAGGAAAAAAAAAAAAAAAAAAAAAAAAACCACACCTGATTATACCTGAACAGGTGATGAGGATCAGTTCTGGTCTGCTTCATTTAAGGTCCAGGAGAGAACCACAGTGTAATCATTGAAATATCAGCAGGCCAGAATAACTGAAGTATACATGTACAAAATGATTCGAGACCACAGTGTGTAGATGATCCTTCAAGTCTGAGTCACTGATTAGTGGGATTGATTGGGGAGAGGGGAGGGGAGCGTAAGTCAGCCTTACTCATAAGACTCGTGCAAAAACGTAAATGTGTGCAAAAAGCTTAAATAATATTGACTCACATCCCAAAAATACAACAGTTCATGTGGCACAAGGCTCATTAAAATAACCATGGAAGCTGCGGGAGCTGAGAGTAGTCCTCTGCAGAAATCTAAACCAGACTGGTGAAACATAATCCTCCTCCCAGCAGTCAGTCTGCAGCTTAGAAAAACAAACAAACAACATCCTGGCACCTGATACCTCACCACAGGCTTCGGGATGCATAACCACGAAGAAAACATGGCATGTGCCTGGGGATGCCCACATGGCAACATCTGTTGGTCTCTACATGAGGACTAGCACTCCAGCGTCATCTGGCTAGACACACACTGCAGATCCACAGGCTTCGGGATGCATCCGAAACATGGCTGCCGGATGCCAATGCATCTGTATGATTCTTGACAGTCTGCTAGTCTACCAAGGGACAGGTGCTTTTGTAGTCACCAGGCGTGGCTGCGTCACTGCTGCGCTGCAGTGTGATTGGCTGTTGCAAAATTCTGTTGCAGCATCACCAGTGAAGTACGAAGCTGCAAGGAGAACACGTACAAGACCAGATGAACACCTGCGTTAGGCTTTGAGCTAACATGACAGACTGCCGGGCCCCCCCCCCAAAAAAACAAATTAAAAAAACAAAAAACAGATGTGTTCATATTTCTTCCAACTCTTTAGGTTTATGGAGCCTAAATGTGAATCACTCTAAAAAGCTGTGTAAATCACAAGAGTGCCATGATATTAAAACTGTTCTATATTGTGTAAGTCTGCATTTAATGGAAGGAACAAAGACAACATTTATTTACATTTCTTAATACAGGACAAGATATGTTCAAGAGATCAGGCCTTCCTTGTCAGATTCTTTAATTTTATAATGCTCCACATATTTTTGACGTCTGGAGTGAGAGCAGGCAAGGAGCTGCAGTCTCTCTGCTAGAATATCTGCAGAAAGTGGTTTGCTTATCCTGCTCATTTAGCAATATTGGTGCCTTCACAGATGGCCATAATTAATTACTCTTATCTCAACTCCACCACTGTATATAGCTATTTAAATGTTTGAAGTTCTCACAAATTAAAAAAAAAAGCATATGTTTAGTAAACATGAATCCAAATGTCAGTCTGCCATTTTTCAGGATTTTGGTGCCGTAATGTTTGCAAAGATACGGGAGAACTGCAGTCAGGCTGAAAGACAACACTAAGAAACAGATAATTCCTTTCTTTCCTTACTCGTGCCAATGCCACGATGCTCTGCACTTTAACACAAGCACATGCTTTGCAATTTAAAACAGACCCCATCACAACAGAAACTCATTGAACTATATCAATGTCAGCTGTTAAATGTGCAGTTCAGTCTTGTCACTCAGGATTTTGAGTACGTCACTGACAGGAAAAAAGGCCTTCGTAATATGCAAAAATGAGCAAATCAAACCAAAACAGAACAAATCTAAACAAAGGAAAAATATTTACATTTGATTTTGTGATGAACTGGTCTTTTAAACAACCTACCTGTTCTAAGAGGTTAATGGAGTCCTGAAGTACATTTTTGAGTAAGCGCAGCTCCTCTGGAGACCTCAACGCTGCTCCCAGTTTGGATCCATACTCAGCAGCTAAGCTGTTAAATAACAAAAGGAGGAATTCATTCTCATGTGTAAGGTATTTTTGCTACAGAAGAACCAGAAACGGAAACGAAGTGAAGAATGTGAAAGAAGGCCACTGATGTCACTTACATAACACCAAAAATTCACAGAAGCAGACAGTTTGAACACTGAGTCATTAAAACAAGAGCTCTCTTGTGCTGTATGTGGGTTGCTTAAACGTCCAGACAAAACTGGAGGAAGACGAACCCCTTCCTCTCATACACCCACACTAAGACTTCTGCTTTCTGAGAGCTTGTGGCAACAGCTATTACAGGTACCATCTATGAACAGTCCTCTGTTATACGCAGGTCACAAAGAAGCAGTGGGAAGTCAACTGACCTGGCCTCGCTCCTCTCCCTCAGGCGATGCTTTGTAGTCAGATACATGCGCTGGGCCACATCCTCCATGGCCCACAGCTTAAAAAACAAGCCTAGATTCAGCATTGTCAGGATCAGCAGACTGTAAAAAAGGCAGAAGGTATTGAGTAATCTGACCAACAGAGCAGGCAGGCGGAAGTGACTAAAACTTTTTTTTT